TTTCTATGTAATTATTTTATTTAATGATGCGAATTTATTAAGATTTTTTTATTAAAATAATAATTGACTAATTTTTATTTTATTTTATTTTTTTACTACAGTTTCAGGTTTACAGTACTACAGAAAATTATATCAAAATAATGGAGCCATAAATGGACATACATGTCCGATGATAAACTGCGACAAATATTAGAGAAAACCAATATTGGTAACAAAGAAATTGGGTTGTTTTATGTCACCAAGGAACCGTAACGAAATTCGTCCTAAGTGTTCCAAAACTTAGCATTTGTTCGATAATTGACCACTTGATCTATTTCTTATCAACTAATGGTGCTAAAATATATATATTTAAAATCAAGAAGGGATTCATTGTGTCCTCTTGGGTATTTGAGTGTTCACGATTGAAATGATTTTGAGTTTTTCCCGTTATACAAGGGGGTCGAGGGGGCTGAATCAGCCTAGTAAATTTCGTATTTTTTTATTTTTTATTTTTAACTCCTAGTTCTGCCCCTATAGGCTGAATTCATAATTGATGTCGGAGCAATGAGGAGGTTGATATCAAGCTATGAATTATTGGAACAATTGGTGTTACTAATGACGAACAAGTTTAACCACTTGAAAGTTGATATTCCTTAGCCTAAAAGAGCTTGAAATGAAGTGTTTTACATCAACTCTATTCGTATTTACGTATTCCTCACGTCATGTTATAGTGTCAGTTGCTGGTCACAAGGGTTGAAAATTCGAAGATGAAATTGATAGTTGACTGTTTTTCGATTTCAAGTTCATTATCCCAAAAGTGCATCTAGACTACAATTTTGTGTGAAAAAAATGGAATTCTATTTATTATGGTACTTTTTGAGCCACTTGAAATTTAAAAAAAGAAAAAAAATTACTATTTTGTAAATAATATGAAATTATCATCATATAAATAAGCAGCGATGCTAAAAGACAAACGGTCGTTGTAGTATAGTGGTGAGTATACCCGCCTGTCACGCGGGTGACCCGGGTTCGATCCTCGGCAACGGCGAATTTCCTTTTCGCAAAATAAAATTTACCCGGATATGCTACCTGTACTTGGCCCGCCGGTTTTTAGGCCCATTAAAACTAATCTTCTAATTAAACCAACAACAACAAATGTGATACGTTGGTCAAAGTAGGGGAAAGGAAAAATAGGGAAAATTGGGAATTGTGCATTAATGTTATGGTTATACTGTTTGCAGGATTTTGACATATGGAGAAAACTGTCTAATGATTAGAATAATTTTAACATTTTAAATCATGATTAGTATTTAATATATATATATTTTTAATTTTACATTAAAATTTGATATCATTCTAAAAAAATTGAGGGCCCCGCCCCCCCCCCCC